AAGAGATGACCACAGGGGAAGGGAAGGAAAAATAAAATAAGATAAAAATAGAGAGGAGGCAAACCATAACAGACTCTTAATTATAGAGAACAAACTGAGGGTTGCTGGAAAGGTTGTGGGTGGGGGATTGGACTAAATGAGTGATTGGCATTAAGGAGGGCACTTGTTGGGATGAACACTGGGTGTCATACTTAAGAGATGAATCACTAAATTCTACTCCTGAAACCAGTACTACACTATATGTTAACTTGAATTTAAATAAAATCTTGGAAAGGAAAAAAAAATGTTGGCCAGGCTATAGGATCATCTAAAGGCTCAGCTCTGTATAAAAGGGAGGAGGAAGGAGGAATTTGCTTCTAAACTCATGTGGCTGTGGGCAAGCCTTGATCTTCATTGCATGGGCCTCTCCATAGGGCTGTTCACAACATCGTAATCTTTTTTGTGTTTTATTTCAATATCCGTCCTTCCACCAATGACTTCCTTAGGTATACAATTCAATGGCTTTTAGCATACTCATGGAATTATGCAACCATCACCACAATCAATTTTAGGACATTTGGTCATCCTAAAAGAAATCCATTATTCAGCAAACCTTCCCTCTTTCCACACCCCAAATGCCCAGTTCTGGGCAATCACCAATCTAGTTTCTGAATCTACAGATTTGTATATTCTGGACATTTCAAATAAACAGAGCCATAGAATATGTGGCCTTTTGTGACTGGATTTAAAGTTTATCTATATTGTGGCATAAATCTGTACTTTGTTCCTTTTAATGGCTGAGTAATATTCCACTGCATGTATAAAGCACAATTTATTTATCCATTTATCAACTGGTATACATTTAAGTTATTTTTATTTTTGGCTACTATGAATACTGATACTATGACCATATTGCATACAAATTTTGCATACAAGTTTTGGTGTGAATACAGATTGTCATTTTTCTTTGGGTATAAACCTAGGAGTAGAGTTGCTATGTCATTTGCTTTCCCTGTGTGCAACTGTTTGAGGAACTACTAGACTGTTTCCCAAAGGAGCTGCATCACTTTCCATTCTCAGTAACAAGAGTATGAAGATACCAATTTCTCCACAATCTCCACAACACCTGTTATTATCTGTCTTTTAGATTATAGTCTTCCCAGTGGGTATGACATAGTAATTCACTGTGATATTGACTTGCATTTCCCCCGTGGCTAATGACATCAAGCTATTTTTCAGGTGCTTATTGGTCATTTGTATGTCTTGTCTGAAGAGATATCTATTCAAATCCTTTGTTTTTAAATTGAGTTCTTTCTATTGTTGAGGTGTTAAGACTTCCTTACATACTCCTCATATTAGAAACTTATTGGGCACCTGGGTGGCTCAGTCACTTAAGCATCAGACTTCAGCTTAGGTCATGATCTCATGGTTTGTGAGTTCAAGTCCCGCATCGGGCTCTGTGCTGGCAGCTCAGAGCCTGGAGCCTGCATCGGATTCTGTGTCTCTCTCTCTGCCCCACTCCCACTCATACTCTTGTCTCTGTCTCTTTCAAAAATAAACAAACATTTAAAAAAAAGAAATTTATTATTAGATAGGTGATTTGCTTATAGTAAACACCAGAGAGCATGTAGATAGGATATTAATAGGAACTCTCATACAATGCAGGTAGGAAAGTAAAAGAGCACCACTACAAGCGAAAGTAGTTTGGTAATATTTAAAACACTACAGAGGCCCATACCCTACAAGCAACAATCCCAATCCTAGGTGTTTACCTCAGCAAAATGCTTACACCTGGTAAAAACTAGCATGGGTAGAAACTTGAGGGGAAAAAACATGAATGAAATATAGGAACCTAAGTGGAAAAATCAGAGAAAAAAATCTGCATAGTACAATGCCATTTATATAAAGTTCAAAAGCATTCAAAAGTAAACATTCTGGGAGTGGTATATACACATAAAATAAGTTTATGAAGAAAAGCGAAGAAATAGTAGAATCTATATGGTAGTTACTTCCAAAGGGATGGAAGGGGAATGTCTAATCAGGAAGAGGCACACAGGTTTCAATGTTATTGATAATATTCCGTTTTTTGAGCTTTGTATATGCAAATTACACATTTTTGTATGTGTGACATATTTCATGAAGATTTTTTTTCAGAGAGCTACACTGATATCTGAATATTTCTCTAATATGAAGTTTTTTTCCCTTAGTTTACTGTCAAATTGGTTTCCATATAACACCCAGTGCTCATCCCCACAAGTGCCCTCCCCCATGCCCATCACCCCCCTTCCCCTCTCCCCCACCCCCATCAGCCCTCAGTTTGTTCTCAGCATTCAAGAGTCTCTCATGGTTTGCCTCCCTCCCTCTCCCCAACTATTTTTCCCCTTCTTCTCCCCCATGGTCCTCCGTTAAGATCCTCCTAATCCATCTATATGTGTAGCAACTTGGATGGAACTTGAGGGTGTTAGGCTGAGCGAAGTAAGTCAGAGAAGGACAGATACCACATGTTTGCACGTAATATAAAGAAGTTTCATCCCAATATATTTAATGCAGATAAGGAGTATCACAGTGAACCAAAAACTACATATCAACAAGATTATGAATTATTTTTAACCCAACAAAGTGTATGCTCTGTAGAACAGAGAAGATGGATTCCCTGCCCTTTCCTGCTTCTCCCTACCTTTCTGTCAGCCAGTCTTCCTGACCCCACCTTTACCACAATAATCTGGATTAAATACCACCTCCTCCAGGAGGTTCTGCCATTTAATCTATCGGCCTTAGGTACACTCATCCTCCTCTCAATTTCCAGAGTATTTTTTATCACTTCAAGGCCCTTACCACATTATCCCTGGAATGCGTGTGATTTAGCTCCTTTGTCAAAGATAAGCACCTGAAGATCTAGAACGCTGATTATATTAGTCTGCTCACAGAAGGAGCTCAGTTTTTTGTTGACTATTGAATGAATGAATGAATTTGAAAATTCAGGAATTTCAGGATGAGGTGAGTAAAGATCTGGCCTAGTTTCCTTTAAAATTCTCAAAAACTGAGGAATTAAATAATTATATTCCTTGAAAAAGAATTTCAACATTGAAACTCTTCTAAATATAGCAAAGATGAGATTAATGATGGTGGGTTAAAACAGAAAGTGTTTATAGTGCATATACTGATAGTTTTCCATAATCAGAGGGGGCCAAATCAAAGGTGTAAGAACTTCCTGTAGAGCCCACTGCCTTAGAACACATCTTGAAGTCAATCATGTAAGTGGAAGACAGGTAGAGTTCTATCTTTTACAGGAAAAAAAAAAAACAACAACAGTGCAAGCCTGCTATTTCATGACCTAAATTTGTTACTTTTGGAAATTTTGGCAACTTTTTTTTTTTTTTTGCTATCAGATATTTAAATTGTTTCCCACCAAAAGTATAAACCTCAACATTATGTGCCTACAGAAGAATAGGAACTGCTACACTCTGGCGGACCACAAGTGAAACAGAGCTGTTTCTCTAGATTAGCCGCTACTGCTGATAACCAATATGGAGTCTTGACTGGTTGAATCAATTCATTCCTGTCTATGCATCTATAATTTCTTCCTGGAGCTAATTTAAAGAAGACAAAAATGTTGGAAGGAGGGCTGCCAGATTTAGCAAATAAAAATACAATCAGCACAGTTAAACTTGAATTTCAGATAAACAATGTTTTGGGTACTTTTTAGTAATGCATGCCTTATGCAATATTTATACTAAAAACTGAAATTAAAATGTAAAGTAAACTAGATTAGCTGTATTTTACCTGGAAACTCTAATTGAAGCCAAAAAGGGGAGCAGTAATCAATCCAATTTCCTCACTTTGTAGCAGAAACTGAGACCCAATGTAAAGAAGTAACCTAGCTAAACCTACACCAAAGATCAAGGAAGTGAGTTTACCTTGAAAAGAGAAAACATATTCTGCTAGGTCACCTTGGGTTCCATTCATAGTCCATTCAACCTCCAATCCTGCTCACTTCACAGAAGCACCAAATGGACAAGCTGTAAAAGGCTCTGATTTTCCTCTTTCAATATAAAACTTCAAGTTTCAATAAATCTCTTATCAACCCTAGTCTTTGAAAACGACAATCCAAAAAATTAAGCATTTCCCTTAAAAAAAAAATCAAGCATTTCCCTTAAAAAAAAATCATCCTTATAGTTTATATACTCACTCACCATATGAAACACGACCTGCTTTTCTCCTAAACTCAGTTCTCTCAAAATCCAAAATTCTCTTGCTCCAGGGTTTCAAAATTTAGAATACATTCATATCATTCCATGACTCTATGGCTTTAAGTCACGTACTCTCTCAACTTTCGTATTTTTCAGAGGAAATGTCCTAATCCATTCAGTTGGGTCTAAATAAAAGTCTTGCAAAAAAAGGTCTTCCGCTCCCATTCTATACCTGCGCAACAACGAGCAATGAACATAAGGTCTCACTATTCTAAACAATACACTTACTTCCCTTGGGCCTGGGACGCAAGAAAAGATGGAAAGAGAAAGGTCCATGTGAAACTTGGGGGCCTTTCCCATGTCTATATGAGAAATATACTAATTGTCTAATTGCATGACATACAGTCTAACAAAATCAAAGAAAATAGAAAAACTCCACATACGCAAAAGATCCATCTTCCAGATCCTAGCAAAGTAACACTCAAAGCATTTCCTCCACAGTATACCAACGCTTCACAACCTGTGATCCCTGGGGGCCCTTAGAGGTAATGTGGTGCAGTGGAACAGGAAGACAGCGAGGCAGAAAAAAAAAAAAAAGGTTTCGTTTTTATCTTTTTTTTTTTTTTTTTAACCAACTGGGCTTCCTGAAGAGGTTCAAAGAAAGGGTTCAAAAGAAGCCTGAAAAAAAAAAAGTCAGTAACATAAACGATTACGACTTTGTCTAATAAGTTTTCTATTAAAAACTTGACCCAGTTGAGTAAGAATCCTAGTCGTGTCAGGTGGGAAATTTAAAGGCAAACAGGACTTAGCAATTAAAAGACAAATATCTACCTAAGTTTTCTCTCTGGCAGCTTCCAAAGTATGCGGGTCCCTCGAGATCACACACGTCAGAAGAGGCAGGTCCTCACAGATCATCTAGTCCAGACATCCATTAGAGATGTGGAAACTCAGGCCAGGGCGAGGGCTGAGGCTGACTTGGCCAAGGTCTCACAGCCCGCAGGAGCCGGACTTCAACTGGGACTCCACGCCGGCAGCCCAGGGCCCTCGGTTCGGCGCGGCCCCAAGAGTAGCCTCGAGCAGCCGGGGCGGAAGGGCCCACAGCCCGGGGTCGCTGCCACTTTTCGGCCGGCTCCGCGCCGAGGCCGCGACCCGGAGCGGTGCAGAGCTGGGGCTTCGGCGGCCGACCCGCCCAGCCCACCTGTCGCGGACAGCACAGCCGGCAGCCACACCCCCTGCCGGGGTCCCGGGCTAAGCCGGCCTCGTCGGCGGCGGGCAGCGGCGGCTGCGCGTGGCGTAAGATACGCCCGTCCCGAGGCCGCAGGAGTTACCTCAGGTGGGCGCTGAGCTCGCGGCTAGGCCGCCCCAACTCGCCTGAAGCATGCCGGACACCAGCACGCAGCAGGGCCGCAGCTCGGCCACAACCGGGCCTGTTTACACCCCTCCGCAGGAGGACGCCGCGGCCCGTCACGTGACACGAGCGTCACGTGTCCGCCCGGGGGCGGAGTTGTGGAGGTGTTGCCCGGCAACGACGGCGCGCTACGAGGCGGGCGGCACGGCAGTGGCGCGGCTTTTCTGCGCTCTCTGCTCTCAGAGTGGTATGGAGGCAAGACGCGGAGCGTCCTGCCCAGTCTGGGCGCGGAAGAGGAAAGCCTTCAACCACCCCGGCTTCGTCCCTTTGCGACTCCTGGGCCTGACCGCGTATCTTACTATAGTCCTTTGAAAGGAGAAAGGGGATTCGTTCCGGTATTCTGATGTTGAACTTGGAGGGAAAAATACAACTACTACCTTATCTAAAGGTAGCAAACGAATGCCAAGCGGGGCATAAGCACTAAGAGTTTTGTTTACCTTAACGAACTCTTTAGTTAGCTTTCGCTCCCTACTCCGGAGTGAATGGCTATTCCACCGCGTACTCCATCCTCACCCCCATCTAAAAATGGGTGTGAGGAAGGCTTGTGCGACTTCCAACTTTTATTTGAAATTGTATTATTACTATACTTTTCATGAGGATTAGACTTTGTGGAAATACAAACATATAAATAAATATTTTACTCAGCATACAGCTTTGTCCACATCAGACTTCCCTGATTATAGCTTTTACTTTGTTTTTAGTAACTTTTTCTACCAAGTTGTTTTCCCACATCATACTTTACAGAAGTAAAGTTTCAGCCACTGGCAATTTGAACCATAATATCTGTTATTAGTTCATAAGAGACTAATAATTTGTACAATTTATAAATTCATGAGTGAATTGTTAGCAAATGCCTTGAAATATTCCAGAACTTTTCTGCTGTCCAGGAGTGATCTATTGCATAATTAACTCCTCCATACAATCCTAATCCCTTTGCATACCTGGTTAAAAGCAAACTGACAGGGTCAAAACAATGGGCTCAAAATATCCTCCAGGTCAGTACAAGTTCAAGCTCTTCATTTCTTTAACACACCTAGAACACAATATTACAAAGAGCAGACAATACAGTGATGAGCTTTCTCCATACTCATCGTTTACTTTGGAAAATAGGTTACAAGGCCAGTTGCCACAACCTGCTTGACTTTTTCTCCTGCTTCTGGCAGCAAATGTTCCCTGAAGGCAGGATAGTATCTTTCAATGGTATACCTTATGCCTAGACCATGCTTGAGAAGCAAAATAGTTGGTTAATCTATGGATGTGAATCTGTAAAAAGTGGCAAAGACCCTTCATAGATCCAGAGGGATCTGTAGTTAGGCAGTACTCAATGGAGACAATGCCAGGATGAGTCCTGGTTCAGCCATTACTATGTAGGCAATTTACTTCACCTTTCTGAACCTCTTCATCTATTTAAAAGAAAGACAGTATCTACTGAATAGTTAGGAAGATGATTTTAAATAATGCTGTCACAGTACTTTAAAGTGCCCAATACATACAGTGCTCAATAAATGTTAACCACATGTGACCTTTGGCAACAGGGTAGTGATAAAGGAGTTCAGAGTGCTGAAGGAATGACAAATGACAACCTGAACTTGTGCACGTCCCGGATCTGGATTCTCACCATTTGGACTGGAGTTGAGCATTGTCAGCAAGGGAACTAAGCACAACCAAAAAGAAATCTTTGCACTTAGAATGGATGGCTACCAGTAAGGGAACTGTTTGTGGGTACCAGGTACTGGCTTTCTGGCAGCAGGTTAATTCCACATCCTATCTGTGGTGATGAGGACTCCTAGTATACCATTGGACTGTCCACTGCTTCAGCCAACATGGGGAAGGAAACTGCCTACCCTCTCCAAGAATTTGTGGGAAAGAAAGAAGTCACCACCAAATGGCTGAATGTATCTAACCATTTCTAGTTTTTCAGGTAGGGTCTCATTGCAAACAAAATACACTGGTAAGTAGGATAAAATATACTTTAGATATATAGGACTCTATAACAGCATATCATGTAACACAGTGGGTGTACTAGTGTTCTCATTAGAGTGAGGAATGTAAGGAATAACGGGATTTGCAAATAGAGAAAGAGGTGAATAATAACCTGCTAAGGTGTTACAGACCTATGATGTGGTACAGCTAGTCTTAAATTTCTGTTTCCTGATTCCAAGTCTAAATGCCTTTTCCTTTTCATTAATAACCATAAAAATGTAGTTTCATTATATCTGTTTATTCTTTGATTTTGACCTTCCTATGCTAAGTGACAATTTTGCTTGACATAATGTTTGGTATATTCCAAAGTAGGGCCAATAGCATATACAGATTGATTAGACGTATATTAAAAGAACAGAGTGAAGGATGACTCCAAGGCTTTTGGCCTGTGCAACCAAAAAAAAAAAAAAAAAATGGAACTGTTATTTATTTAGATGGAGAAAGGTGTGAAAATAACAGGAAACCTCACTAAAATGGAGTTGGGAGACCAGAAGGGGGAGATCTTGTGCTATAACACTCCTCAATTACTGGAAAAATAATCAATTACCCCAAGAGAAGAAGGAATAACAAGAATCATCAATTACAGGTACCAATAAGAAAAGATGCACAGTGCATCTCCTATAAGAAATTGACTAAGCCAGCAATTCAGCCAATGAGAAACCCTCATCACCCTGAATTCTTTTTTCTCCAATGGATTTTTGTTCAAAACAACCCCTCCTAGCTTCCTCCTTCATCTCCATAAAATAATGTTCCTGTCTTTTGCTAGACCTAAGACTCTTGCTGAACCTTGTTTGTCCTGAATTGCAATTCTCTGCCATTCCCAAATAAATTCACCTTTCCTGGTAAAATAACTGACTTTTATTTTTAAAATCAACAAAGGATATGTGCAGACTGGCGGGAGGAATCAATTTTATTTTGAACATGCTAAATTTGGCATGCCCATTAGCCATCCAAATAGAGCCGTACAGTTAAGCAACTGCATAGAAGACACTGAAATTCTGAGTAGATAGATATGAATTGATTGGTCAGTGGTATTTAAAGCCACAAAATTAAATAAGATCACACAGAGCAGGAACTTTGTACCTTCTGATTTCAATGCAGGATATAGAACAGTTCCCAAACTGACCAAATATATGTAGATAACTTAAAACTTTCAAGAAGCAAATTTACTTTGAAATGTGTAATTCACTATTTTTTCTCCACTTTATTCTGTTCCACTTTAAAAAATGTTTTTAATGTTTTATTTATTTCTGAGGGAGAGAGAGAGACAGCGTGAGCAGGGGAGGGTCAGAGACAGAGGGAGACACAGAATCTGAAACAGGTTCCAGGCTCTGAGCTATCAGCACAGAGCCCGACACGGGGCTTGAACCCACAAACCGTGAGATCATGACCTGAGCCGAATTCGGACGCCCAACTGACTGAGCCACCCAGGCGCCCCCATTCTGTTCCACTTTTTAAAAACTTCTCCCAACCCAACTGACTTTTTAACCAAGTAACAGTGTGGTATTACAGTTTGAAAATCATTGAAAGTTGCTGACCTAGGACACTGATTCCATTAATTGGAACAACAAGAAAAGATCCAAGGGCTGCTCGTATAGCACTTTAGAGATGGGAAGACAAAGCAAAGGAAACATACTGGGAGCTCAGCCAGAGGTAATAGAAGAAACAAAACAGAGGAATCCTAAAGTCAAAGCAAAGACAATTTTTTAGAGAGAAGGAAGTGCCTCAGTGTGTCATTTCCTTTGCTGCTGAGAAGTTGAGTAAAATGAGAACTGACCTTTGGATTTGCCAGTGGACAGATCTTTGAAAGCTTGAGAACAGAGCAATTAAGATAAAGTGGCAGGGATACAAGCCTTATTACAGAGATAGTAACTGGTGACAGCAAGCAGATTTCTTTTTGCTGTAAAGACGAGCAGGGGAATGAGTCAACAGCAGACAAGAGATGTGAGGGTTAAGGTTTTCTGTTTAAATATTTATATGCCAATAGCAATGGTCGTCATGAGAAAATATCAATGCAGGAGACAGTGACAACTGTAGGAAGGAAGTCCTTGAGTTGGCTGGTGGGGTCATCCATAGATAGGTGAGCAAGGGGAATGGAAAAGCACAGTACATTTGTTGTTAGATGCATATAAACTTTATTTTCCAACTGTTCCTAGTTTAATAAAACAAGAAGCTAAGAGGACAGGAAGAGGAGTGCTGGTGGTTTGAGGAGGGAAGGGGTAAAAACCCTCCAGGAGAGTGCTATACCGCAGCCCCAGCCCCATGATTTCCCACATGGATGATTACTGTCTCCTGACTTCCATCTTTTTCTGCTACACTGTTTTCTCTACACAACCAGGAGAGTGGTTTTTTTTTAAGACTTAGGTCCAATGATGTAAACCCCCAATATTTTCCCAATTCAGAATAAAATCCAAAGTTCATGCCTATCACAGCCTCCATGATGTAGCCCCTTATTTCCTGTTGTTCCTCCCCCTTGCTTTGCTCCAGCTGCCTGGCTGCCTTGCTCAGGCATAGAATACTTTCCTCCATTTCCTCACCTCTTTGTGACTTGACTTAAATGTAACTCTCTCACAGTGGGTGTACAGAGGCTGCTTTCAGGCAATCAGCTTGAGCTATGGACCTGAGTAAGCTGAATACAAACAGGCCCATTAGTTCTTACCATCTGTGGTAGAACCATTTACAGCTCAAATCTCCATTCTCCCCTGCCATAACTCTGGCAAATAGGTAAGGCCATATGACTAGCTCTAGCCAACGGGCTGGGAGCAGAACATAATACACTTCTAGATAAAATCATTTAAAAGCCAATGTACAACCTCCAGCCTTCTCTCCCTGCTGCAGCAATCTTAGAGAATCAGCCTGAATCTCCTCATCAGCTACCCTGGGAAGTTGCCTGACTCACTGGATTTTGCATGGGTGAGGAATAAACACTGTGTTAAACCACTGAACTTTGGGGGTTAATTTGTTACCACAGCAATATATAGGATCTATTCTGGTCTGAATCAGATCTTCCTAAAATTTAAACATTGAACTCTTAACCCCCACTACCTCATACTGTGACTGTACTGGAGATAGTGTTAGAGTAGGCAGTTAGGTTCTAACAGGATACCTGGAGGCCAGCAATGAGAAAGTGCTGACTAGCTATCAGGAAAAGTCAGAGGCCTGTCCTGGCAGTGCTCTACAAAAAACCAGACCAAACCAGACAGACCCAAGATGGAGGATGCCGTACAGGAAACCCATGACCAAATTAGAAAGAAAAAGTGAGAAATTCTGCTTCTCACCCAAAGTGATAACTATTCCGCCCCCTAGTTAGGAACTGTCAATAGAACAGAAACCCAACCTTCAGAGCACTCCTATGTATGTCACCCACTCTCATATCTCATCATACACTTTCCACTTTTATAAACTCTCCTGCTTCCATTACTCATCCGCTGTGCTGTATGTCTGTCCTTGAATCCTTCTCCTGACAATGCCAAGAACTTTTGACTCCTTTAGGTCTGGAGGCCCAGGGCCCAGAGTCTCTATTCACCCAGCAACAATAGGGCCTTTAAAGAGGTGATTAAGGCAAAATAAGGTTATTAGGGTGGTCTTGATCCATTAAGATTGGTGTCCACATAAGAAGAGAGTAGGGGCACCTAGGTGGCTCAGTTGGTTAACCTCTGACTTTGGCTCAGGTCATGATCTCACAATTCGTGGGTCTGAGCCCTGTTTTGGGCTCTGTGCTGACAGGTCAGAGCCTGGAGCCTGCTTCAGATTCTGTCTCTCCCTTTCTCTCTGCCCCTCTCCCACTGACGCACTGTCTCTCAAAAATAAACAAACATTAAAAACATGTTTAAGTCTTTATGGAAGAAAAAATTATTGTAAATAAATAATCAAACTCATAATGAAATTGAGTATTTATTTGAATTTCTTCTGGTAATAGCACTCAACATATAAGAAAAACAAACCAAGCTCTGAGATTTTGTTTTAAATGTAGCCATTTTTCAAAAAGTGAAAAGTTAGATTCTCTATTTAATGGCAACAAGTGAGACCCCTTCTATTGTAAAACTACCATTCAAAAAAGTAGTATTTTAAGAAATATATAGTATGATTAACATGATGTGTTTTATAGAATGGATACAAATCTGAATGCCAATCTGAATATGGAAGAAATATGGAGGTGTTGAAACCACACTGGGAAACGAAATGTTCTTTTTTATAAAAAGTAGTTTGAAATAAAAGGAACTTACTAGTAAACTCAATAAATTTTCACATGGGATTTTTTAAAAAACAAATCTCTATCCCCCACCTGCCCCCCCCTCAAGAAAGTGGTGGATTTGAGTAGAGCCCTTACATGACGGCACATTTCTGTATAACGTGGAAGCTGGTTTATATAGTCAGTGATAATTTCCTAAAGTGCATCTTTTGAAGACTTGTCTGGTAAAACTGCAGTATCAAATATAAAATACTTAACACAGGACATGCAGTAACAAAGCTAAATCATTATAAAGTTTTTAAAACTACTTTTAAAACATCTGATTCACCAAAGAATAAAGATGTCAAATATAGTAGCAGTCTTTCTCCAACAGTGTGCATTGTATGCTTTTGTCATTAGGCAAATCTTTTGGAGTCGAACAAATATAATGCAGTCTAAACAGTATTTCTTCTGCCACTGTAATACGATTCCTAGGCGCAGAGCAAGAGCTAGATTTTTGGAAGTTTGGGTGCGTTAACCACAGGATTTGCCTCCTGTAAGTATCTCCTCCCTGCACTCTTGTAATCATAGGTGCAGCCGTGAGCTTCTGCATAGCGGTGAGATGCGCAGAAGTTGTTTCCACATCTAAAGCACAAAAAAATTTCATGTAAATAGTCACATTTCTAGAGCGGCTCATCTCCTAGGGAGATGAGAGCTTGACTTACAGTATGCAACAGGAGCCCTGTGGTTCTCTTTAGCAATTTTCAACACTGACATTTCCCTTGTACTCATAAACCAGCACAAGTGCCCCCAAAAGAGAGTTAACTATCCATGAATATGAGTTTATAATAAAGGATCTATTATGGAATGAAACAGGATATAGATCTTTATGAAATGGTAAAATTGCAAAAGCTGATAAATGTCTACCATGTCTCTTATATCTAGTAAACCCGAATTGGTAAGAAATTTTGTCTCAAAAGAAAATTATGTAAAACCTAACTATGCCAGAAAAGGATTTTTAAAATATTTCTATCAACGAGATGAGCTGTTTCTACCTGAATAGAACGCATTCCAAAAAGCAGCAGTTATTTTTAATGCCTGGACTCAAACTAAGGGCAGACATCATCCCCAGAGCATATTAATCAATGTTAAAGAAAGAAATAATTATGAGAAAATTCATTACTTTTTGTGAATAAAGTATTTATCTGTTTTGAAATAAAACTGTAACATATAATTGTTAAAATTAATAGTACATTCACTTTAAATTTAGTTTTTTTTGTTCAATTTAAAAAAGAATCTTGGTGGAGGGGGGTTCTTCCAAGTTGTATTCAAACAAAAACCAGGCATATCTATCATAAGACAAAGTGCACTCTCCCATTGGTTTAAATCTCCTAACTTGGAGGGCAGGAGAGGATCTCATGATTTATAAACTCATGAGCTATCTACTTTGTCATTCCTTCAGCCAATTTAAAGAATGTTGTATATTGTATCCCCATGCTGGGTCACCACAAAAAAAGCATCTCAGCTTTTCTAGTCGGCCAACCTGCCTGCATTCGTAGCTAGTAGCCAGTCCAGTTTTCTTTCCACAGAGAAAACAATGCTTTGCTGCTTTCTTCTTTGTTTGAATTGAGGCTTTCACAGGTGGGAGGTGATGAGGACATTCTCCTGATTAAGGAAAGGACACCTTGATTACTACAGGCATAAAATTTTAAATGTGAAATAGTATTAGGCAAAACATAAAACACATCCCCATCACAGCAAACTTCTTTGCTATAAAAAATTTGTGCTATTTTATATCCAAAATTGTCTACAAAAATCTACAAGTAAAGATGCAGTAGAACTGTCCTATTTTTAAAGATGAGGTGCGTTTCTACTGACAGACTCATATTTTTAGGACTTTTGCACACACCAGTATTTTTCTGATTATTTCTAAGGGCATTCAGTAATTGTAAAGTACACCAAATCTTGACAGAGAATTAAGAAAAATCTGGTTCAAAATCATGTTTATGAGGCCTCTGAAAAACAATGTAATATGTAATACAAACACACTATTCTTTTACACCAAGAAGAAGCACCAGAGTTTCATGAAACTGGTCTTTTAGCTCTGACTACATCATTAAAATTATAGTTGTCAAACCACAGACAAGTTTGTTATTCTTTCAAAACTTCAATTTGTTCATTAAAAATTTTTTTAAACATTTATTCATTTTTGAGGGACAGAGAAACAGAGCACGAGGGCAGAGAGAGAGAGGGAGATACAGAATCTGAAGCAGGCTCCAGGCACTGAGTTGTCAGCACAGAGTCCGATGAGAAGCTTGAACCTGCGAACCATGAGATCATAACCTGACCCGAAATCGGACACTTAACCAACTGAGCCACCCAGGCGCCCCCAATTTGAAGATAACATAATGTGTTTTTCTCCCTTATGTTTCTAAGTGCTTTACAGTCAACTCAGTTCTCACATGTAAAAAGCATTCTGAAAATTTTTAATATTGTAATTATATAAAATACCATCTTATCAATAGTGATTAATGTGGTGCACTGCTCAATTTCACAGTACTATCTTTCCAAAAAGTATTTACTAAATTTTGTACTATTGTAATTTTATCTTAAAAAAACAGCATATCTGTTATTACATATGAAATAATTAAATCAATTTCTTTAATTAGTAGGTGAAACTCTCTTACAAATAAAATTCCAACAAATCTGATTCAAGGAGAGGCTCAAGTCTCCATCCACAGCTGTTACAATAACAGTACAAGCACATGGTGCTTGGTGGCACTAAAAGGCCAAGGAGCCAGAGGCAAACAAAGAAACAGAACAAGGAGAAGGAATGAGAAGAAAAATGGTAGGGTCCCAGTGGTACTGGTACCTATTCTCCACTATAGAAAAAAGGTTCGTGAGGCCTTGGCTGAATGTTTATATGGCAGCTAAAAGTCTCTGAAGATCCTTCAAGGGCTCAAAAAATTGGAATTACAATGAGTTGGTGCTATGCCTTTTGCCACCCAGAAAGGGTGCTAGATATAGAAACCCAGTAACTTTTAAGTCAGCTTTATTTTTTTTTTATTTTTTTTAATGTTTTTATTTATTTCTAGGAGAGAGAGAGACAGTGTGAGCAGGGGAGGGTCAGAGAGAGAGGGAGTCACAGACTGAAACAGGCTCCAGGCTCTGAGCCGGCAGTCAGCACAGAGCCTGACACGGGGCTCGAACCCACGAACCGCGAGATCATGACCTGAGCGAAAGTCGGACGCTTAACCGACTAAGCCACCCAGGCGCCCCAAGTCAGCTTTATTACCAGTCTGAAATACTTTCCTATTTCCTAGATCTTGTCCAAAACTGGAAACTAACTGAATGACTCCTAATGGTAGAAACACAATTGGGAAGAACTAAGTGAATGATTCCCAATGGTGCCTGGGCACCAGCTCAGTTAGCACTTTCTTCTTCAAGTGCACTTAGAGTTATCAAGAACAAAGGTGTTGGGGTACTTTCCACTTCTTAAAAAATGAAAATAAGATAAGCATTTACATAGGTCACAGAGGAAAGGCATACAATACCAGATATTCTGCAAGCTCATCTAATTGTAATTATCTTTGAAATTCAGGTTTAGAATATTCTTCTCCAGTGGAATAACCTAATGATAATTTTTTAGTTCAGTGTAATCATAGTTTCCTTTTTCCTGTCCTTGGAATCCCTTAACTCAATGCTTTCCAAACTTTTCTCATTGAAGTACTCTTTTGAAAGTGCAGAAACATAAGACACAGTAGTGACAAGAATGAGTTGGCACAGAGACACAACTGCTGTCTTCTCCTATGAGAATAGTTTCTGTGTGTACCTCTACCCACCAGAGAAAACCATTTATTAGTTATTAGGAATATATAGGTTTCCTATTATTCTTTAGACTGGCATTCAGGGTTTATATGTCCAATGATACCTTTCCAACTTTCCAGAGTCATTTTCTGTCATCTGCCACATCACACCCACTCTGAATGAAGCAGGAGACCCATTCACAGATGCAATCTCTTCTATAATGCTAAACGGGTGATGGGCATTAAGGAGGGCACTTGTTGAGATGAGCACTGGGTATTACACTAAGTGATGAATCACTGGGTTCTACTTCAGAAATCAATACTACACTGTATATTAACTAACTTGAAATTAAATAAACAAAATTAAAAAATAACATAAAATAAAATAAAATGCTCTATTTCAACCTAGTAACCTTGTCAACCTAGTAAATCACTATTTGTCCCAAAAGAACATATCATCAATCATCAATTCCTCTCTGAAGCCTTCTCTCAAATGTGTTTATTGGACATATGATACAGCAAAAGTCAGTAAAATAATTCCAATGTGAAAAGTTGCTTTTCAAAACAAGATTAAAGATATTTGGATTAACTCATTTGTTTGGCATTTCCTAGTCTAATAATTGATCTAAGAAATGATCTATAAAAATTTACTCAAAAAAATGCAGTCAACAAAATAGTAACAGTAGTGTTCTAGATGCAAATTTGTTAAATATATGCCTAAAAATGATAACTAGAACTATGAAGATAGGTAAGATTTCCAAAGGAGACCCTATAGTTAAAAACAAAGACCACCACCAATAGAAGAATTTAGCAAATTAATTAAATAAAATGTATACTTAAACTCTCATTGACTCTTCAAGGACATTCAGAATGATACAGTTATTACTGAAAGGAAATGGCAACAAGTTACGCGGCCCTTGTTTGGGTAATCATCACTGCAGACAGCAGTTGATGGCCTGACTTAAATGAAATCAACCTAAAGAGTGTACACCTGGGTACAAGCAGAGGGCTGGTAAAACAAGAAAAAGAAAATCAGGTTTACAAAATGAAACAAAACAAAAATCTACAACAATATGATAGCTCAGAATAAAAAAAGAAGAAGAAATGAAAAAGAGAGAAACAAAGGAAAAGAAACTATTTCAGGAAGGAGGGCCACAACAATCAAACAAGATAAGGATACAGAAGCATCCACTAGATTGAAACTGTGGATATCTTTGGTGACCACAGCATCAACAATTTCAGAGGAAGAGTGAGGAGAGAAATGAAAAAGCACAGAAGCTCAAATTAGAGTTAAAAGTTGATATATTATAGTAACTGTGTGGTACTGGCATAAAGACAGGCAATAAAGAACCTAGAAATAAACCCTCACATATAGGATGAAATGATTTTTGACAAGGGTACACAAGACAATGGGGAAAGGACAGTCTTTGTAATGAATGGCACTGGGAAAACCAGATATACACATGAAAAAGAATAAAGTTGGACACTTATATTACACCATACACAAAAATATATACATTAAAAAATTAATTCAAAATGTATCAAAGACCTATCTGGAAGACGTAATACTATAAAACTTTTAAAATACAATATAAGGGGAAAACTTCATGACATTAGACTTGGCAATGATTTATTGGACATGACACCAAAGTCATAGGCAACAAAGAAAAAAACTGACAACATGGACTGCATGAAAATTAAAAACTATTGTGCATCAAAAGATACTATCAGTAGAATAAAAAGGCAGAAACATTTAGAAGAAAATATTTGCCAATCACATATCTGGTAAGGCATCAGCATCCAGAATATATAGAGAACACCTAAAATTCAACAGCAAAAATGAAACAACTCCATTTAAAAATGGGAAAAATATCTGAACAGACATTTCTCCAAAGATGTACAAATGTCTAAGCACATAAAAATATACTCAACATCACTAATCATCAGGGAAATGCAAACCAAAACCACAGTGAGATATTACCTCATACCTACTGGGATGTCCATTATCAAAACAAACAAACAAACAAACAAACAAAACAGAAGATAACAAATGTTGGTACAAATATGAGGAAACTGGAAACCTTGTACACTGTTGTGTAATATAAAATAGTGCAGCCACTATGGGAAACAGTTACTCAAAAACTTAAAAATTCAATTACCGTATGAGCCAGTAATTCCATTTCTGAGTATATAATCAAAAAAATTAAAAGCAGGGTCTCAAAGAGATATTGGGGCACCCATGTTCATAACAGCAGTATTCACAAGAGCTAAAATGTGGAAGCAACACAAGTCTCCATCCACAGATACATGGATAAGCAAAATGTTGTATATACATACATTGGGATGATATTCAGCCTTAAAAAGTATGGAAACTCTGACATATGCTACAACATAGATGAACCTTGAGGACACTACGCTAAGTGAAGTAAGCTAGACAAACAAAAAAACAAAATGCTGTATGATTCCACTTATATGAGGTCCTTCAAGTAGTTAAAATTACTCAGACAGAAAGCAGAATGACGGCTGCTAGAGGCTGACGTGAGCGGAGTGGGAGGATGAGGATTTAGTGATTAATCTGTACACGTTTTCAAGGTAAAAAGAATTCTGGATGGAGATGGATGGTGGTGATGGTTGCTCAACAATGTAAATATTTTATATAATGCTGCTGAGTTACACACTTAAAAATGGTTAAGATGGTAAATTTTATGTATATTTTGCAATTAAAAAATTGAAAAAATGTAGATATATTAAGACTTTAAACTCTGGGCGTTATGTAGAAGTGAAAAATAAACCCCAAGTATCTCTTTAGAGGCATAAAACTCATGTGACAAACATAATATATACTACATTGGTTGTCATATCAGTTTTATATACTTTTATATAAAGTATCCTTTAGAACCCTGAGGCTACAAAGGTAGTACATCTTTGGTAATGAGTTTCATCCCTAGTCTGGGTATTAAGTCACAAAAGATGATGATAATAATGGCTTCCTTGGAGATAAAGACTGGCCAGTGCACCTTTAAGGTGTTATTGGCAGAATGGACTACCAATGTTATGACCACTTCTGCTACTGTGCTTTGAAAAGGGCTGATTCAAGGACTCTTTTTTTTTTTTTTATCCAGAAATAATCAGTTCATAAAAAGGGGCTCTTCCTACTATCCTTGATATTAGATCATAATGTCAAGAAACACCTCGCTAGGATACTTTCTCAAAACCCAACCAGCAGCCAAGCATGGCTCTAGAGAGGCCAGCGACAGAGGGAATTACACATTAATTCTTCATCCTTTCTGTCTTTTCACTTAAACCGTATCTTTCCCCAGGCAACAGAGACCTCAATTTCAATTTTTGTTTTATTCTTCAAGTATGTTCTGCAGTCAGTTCTAATAGTCATTTTCTTAAGTGGAACAAAGTTTAGGGAGAGTTTACTCTGTACATACCACAGAGAACCTTCCTCTTATTTCTCTCTGAAAAAAACAGTATGCATAATGAAATGATTCTCAGGCTTATATTTTCAAAATTATCTGTAGCTTACCTACTACTCTTTTCCCTGCTGCTGTGTTATTTCCATTCATTCCAATGCCTCGGGCAGACTATAATTAAAACACAAAACATCTACAGAGGTAAGTTAATGGAGAACAGAAGATAACTAAACATGAAATACTTGTATTTCATTATGGAAATACTGTTGAGCTTTCATTTAATTAAATTAACTCGCAATTATTTTTCTTTAAGAAAATGAAATTTGATGGTGTAAATAAAAGTTCTTACATGGGAAAAATGAATAAAAATATTTAGCGTTGGGGCACCTGGGTGGCTCAGTTGGTTAAGTGTTCAACTTCAGCTCAGGCCATGATCTCAGTTTGTGAGTTCAAGCCTGTGTCAGGCTCTGTGTTGACAGCTCAGAGCCTGAAGCCTGCTTCAGATTCTGTGTGTCTCTCCCTCTGGCCCCCTCCCCCACTTGTGTTTAGTCTCTCTCTCTCTTTCAAAATAAATAAACATTAAAAATTTAAAAAAAAATTAGTGTTAAAAATAGATGATAAATTATCGACAAAAAATTATTTTTAATTACAATTCTCAATTTAGGGCTAACACCTTATTTAAAATTCAACTATCAGAAAGATTTTCTGGGGGGGAGGGGGGAGATGGGCATGGAGGGCACTTTTGGGGATGAGCACTGGGTGTTATATGGAAACCAACTTGACAATAAACTATTTGTAAAAAAAAATTAATTTAATTTAATTTAATTTTTAAAAAAGAGGAAAAAAAAAGATTTTCTACAAACTAGATTAAGATTGGGGCACCTGGGTGGCTTAGTTGGTTAAGCGTCCGACTTCCGTTCAGGTCATGATCTCACGGTTCATGGGTTCAAGCCCCATGTCAGACTCTGTGCTGAGAGCTAGCTCAGAGCCTGGAGCCTGTTTCAGATTCTGTATCTCCTCCACTCTCTGACCCTCCCCTGCTTATGCTGTCTCTCTCACTCTCTCTCAGAAATGAAACATAAAAAAAAAAAACTAGATTAAGATTTTAAGAGAAACTTTTTTTTTTTTTTAAAGTTTTATTTATTTCTAGGAGAGAGAGAGAGACAGCGTGAGCAGGGGAGGGTCAGAGAGAGAGGGAGTCACAGACTGAAACAGGCTCCAGGCTCTGAGCTGGCAGTCAGCACAGAGCCCGACGCGGGGCTCGAACCCACGAACCGCGAGATCATGACCCAAGCGAAAGTCGGACGCTTAACCGACTAAGCCACCCAGGCGCCCCAAGATTTTAAGAGAAACTTATGAAAAGAATTCAACTTTAGGCCTCCCTCCTTATGTAAAGAAAAAACAAATGTTTAATAAGATGAATAACTAAAAGGGTAACTAGTAGAACATATTACAAAACAAATACTTACTAGAAAATAATCTGTAGATTCTAACTGGGGAGAACTTTTCCTAAGGCTTTCTTCCTGAGAATGCTGCAGGCTCATAGACAGCCCCATTCCAGAGGTCCGAAGCCTGCCTGCCCCACGCATGCTCTGTAAGCTATCTCTGCTTGCACTCCGAGCCAGCGAAGCAAGAAAACCTATATTATTTACACAACCAACAGGCTCTTTGGAAGCCTTGTTAGCCATTTCTGTGATATCCCGAGCCTCAACTTTAGAAATAACATCAGCTCTTTTCCCAGGTGAATCAACTTTCACAGCTCGAAAGCGAGTAGTCCTAGAGAAAGAATCAGTTGTATTTCGAACATCCAGTGACCGAAGCATATTTTGTGAAGCAGAAGACTGGAGACTCCCAGACTCAAAACATTTGGATTGTCTCTGTGGTTTCATCAGAGAATTATGGAATGACATTGGTGTAGAACAGCGAAGAGGTGACAAGAGTCTATTCTTGTGAGGACTTAATTCATGGTGGTCGAGAACTGTAGTTTCTACTGATTCGTCGCTCAACATTCTTGCAACATGTTTAAGATGCTGTTCTGCAGCTTTCAACCCTTTATCACCATTACTGAGTAAGAACTCTGGATTTACCTTCCGTGTGCCTTCTAAGCCACTGCTCTGTTCATCGATGTTTCCTTCTGTAAATGAAGCAAATGAACCCACTTCAGGTAGAAGTGATTCTTCAGTTACACATTCATCTGAAGTTGTAAATAAAGTAGTGTCATCCTCATTATTGGATGACAAATTTCCTGAAAAGTGTTTTGTCCGCCTAGGCAGGAGTGATCCAAGATGGAGAACAGAATCAGCAAGTTCTTTGTCATTTTCCAACTCGGTATGGGATATCTGAGGTGGTAGTTTGATGTTACTATTGGAATGAGACAGCGTGTTACTCTCCCAGTTACCGTCTTCCTTAAGAAAATTGCTATCGATAGATGATTTGGGTCTATCAGTAGAGGGCAGAGTAGCCAAACTTGAAACTGCATTGCTGGAAGATTCAGGTAGACACATACTCCCAGGAGAAGGTAAACAAGACTGCCCAATGTGAGGGAGAACCCTTAACAATCTGTGGCGAGCAGCTGCCGTGGAACTACTAGAAGGTCGAGGAGCTATAGGTGGACGAGGTTTTACCTTGACAGCTTTCTTAGGCTAAAAAAAAGAGTGAATATATAATTCCTTATAGTCATTTTTGTCTACCCATTAACAAAAATTAAGGAAGGAAGAAAATGTTATTTACTGCAGCAATGGCATTTTGATTACCTCAATTTAAAATGTTTTAAAAGATTAAAATCTTAAGTTTAAAACTGAGATTAATTTTGCTCTCTTCCTCCATTGAAGATAATTTTCTGAAAAATGTTAAAAAGAATTTTATTTATTTCCCTCACTACTGATCATTTGCCAGAGTTTTGCTGAAAAGAAAACTCACTGATTATACTAGATATGATACTGCTTACCTATTTTAGGCCCCCAACCATTTTTCCTAGTGAGATGAATAAGTGTCGGCTACACAGGTACTACAGGAAAGAGTTAACAGGCCTCCACTGCTATCCTTGAAAAGGCCTGCCTTCCAGGATAGCCCTCAGCTAGCTTCTGGGAACTTGTATTTCAAGAGGGTTCCCATCACCCTAACATGAAGGTGCCTAACCTGTTTGTGCAAGCTCTATGGTTAATGCTAAACACTAGCTTTCCTTCTGGGAGTCTGGACTTTTGGTACATGCTAGACAGAGGGTGTCTACATGAATAGCCCCCAGTAAAAGCCCTGGGCACAGACTCTTTAATAACCTTCCCTGGCAGACAATAATATTCCACATGTACTGACACAGCTCACTGATAGACAGAGCATGTCCTATGAGACTCCACTGGGAAAGGACTCCAGGAAGTTTGTGCTTGGTTTTCTCTGGACTTGAGCCATGAGATTTTCCTGTTTGATGATCTTACTTTATATCCTTTTGCTGTAATAAATCTTAGCCACAAATACAACTATATGCTGGTCCTGTGAGTCTTCCTAGCAAATCATCAAACTGCAGAATGCTCTAGGGGTCCTCAATATAATAACTTTTAATAAAAGTATTACAACAATTTATGATGTTATGGATAAACTTAAAATGGAAGGAGAAAGAAGCAACCTAAATGCCCATCAACAGATGAATGGATAAAGAAGATGTGAGAGATATGTATAATGGAATATTACTCAGGCATAAAAAGAATGAAATCTTGTCATTTGTGACAATACACATAGACTTTGAGGGTAGTATTATCCTAAGTGAATTAAATCAGAAGAAGTTAAATACAATATGATTTACTTACATATGTAATTCAAAAAACAAAATGAACTAACAAAAAAGCAGAAACAGACCCATAAGTATAGAGACCAAACTGGCATTTGCCAGGGGGAGAGAGGTAGGGGGAGAGGCAAAAGGGGATGAAGAGGAGTGGGAGATATAGGCTTCCAGGAGAATGACTGAGTCATGAAGATAAAAGGTACAGCATAGGAAATACAGTCAACAGTATTGTAATAGTGCTCTGTGGTGACAGATGGTAGCTGCACTTGTGGTGAGCATAAAAGCAGAATATACAGAGCTGTGCAATCACTATGCCATACACCTGAAACTAATGTAAACACTGTGCGTCAACTATACTTCAATTTAAAAAAAAATGTTAATGGAGAGAGAAAGAAAGCCAAATAAGTTCATTGATTATAATTAAGAACTAGGAGTCAAAAGATACCTCTCAAAAATGGAAAATAAAAGAGTGGAAGGTTAAGTAAGGAAAAGGCATATAAAGGACATGATAATAGATATTAATCTAAAGTTAACCAATAGATGGGGCTCCTGCGTGGCTCAGTTGGCTTAAGCGTCTGATTTCAGCTCAGATTATGATCACAGAGTTCATGAGTTCGAGCTCCGCGTTGGGCTCTGTGCTGAGAACTCAAAGCCTGACAACTCTGGAGCCTGCTTTGGATTCTCTGTCTTCCTCTCTCTCTGCCCCTTACCTTTTAGTGCTCTGTCTCTCTCTCTCTCTCAAAAATAAATAAACATTAGGGGCGCCTGGGTGGCTTAGTCGGTTGGGTGTCCGACTTTCGCTTAGGTCATGATCTCGCAGTTCATGGGTTTGAGCCCCGCGTCGGGCTCTGTGCTGACTGCCAGCTCAGAGCCTGGAGCCTGTTTCAGTCTGTGACTCCCTCTCTCTCTGACCCTCCCCTGCTCACGCTGTCTCTCTCTTTCCTAGAAATAAATAAAAAACATTAAAATAAATAAATAAATAAATAAATAAATAAACATTAAAAAAATTTTTTATAAAGCTAAATAAAACAAAAGCCTTCTGAAGTACCAAAAAGTTCACACTCATACACACACATCCATACATACACAAAAGAGATCATTAAAATACTATAGATATATCAAAATAAGACATTTGAGACCATATATGAAACTCATACCACTAAATGTAAATGTGATTAAGTTACCTATTTTTTTTAAATTTCAAACTAGTTCACAAATCAAAAAACCAACTCTATAATGTATATAAAATATATACCAAAAACAAAGTAATTCAAAATTTAACTTCATTTTATTTAAAAAATATTTAAGATTGTATTTTTACATGATCTCTACATCCAATGTAGGTAGACTCTTAATCTTGGAGTTGTGAGTTTGAGCTCCACAATTAGTGTAGAAATTACTTGGAGAAAAAAAGTTTGCCTAAAAGTGAATTTTAAAAGACATAGGAAAAGTAAATGAAAACAGTAAGGTATCAAGGGTTATGGGCCTGATATCTGGCAAGGAAAATTTAAGCTGAAAGAGATGAAACATCTTATAACAACTGCAGTAAGCAGTATAATTAAAATGCAATAGTTTAGGGGTTATATTTAGGTGGCTGTTGGTTAAGCGTCTGGCTTCAGTTCAGGTCATGATCTCGAGGTCTGTGAGTTCAAGCCCTGCATCAGGCTCTGTGGTGACAGTTTAGAGCCTGGAGCCAGCTTCGATTCTGTGTCTGTGTCTCTCTCTCTGCCCCTCCTCCACTTGTACTCTCTCTCTCAAAAATAAACAAACATTAAAAAAAAACTTTTTTAATAAATAAAGTAAAATAAAATAAAACAGTCTACGCAACAATCACACAACAAGCACCTTCTTAAAGCAAAAAACTATGGAAGATGAAAAGGGAAATACATAGATGTCCAACAACAATGGACTTTCATGTATCATTATTTTTATCAAAGAAACATTAAGCTGACCAAAAGAAAGGAAACAGGGAATCCAAACAACCGAGCACTAAGATCAATCTTATAGTTATCTATCAAACTTTTACCCTGATGATAGCTAATGAACCATCTTCGGAAGTACACTGGAATATTCATGCAGAGTGATATTAGATCACAAATAATCAGGTTTTATTAAGCAGAAATACAAACAGCATTATGTGATTTCCATAAAAATCATTGTTTTTAATATGAATAAAACTAGAAATCAAAAACAATGACAAATCAAAAAGCTTCACTCACCAGGAATTTTTCTAAATGCTATTAAACAACTCTTGGATAAAAGGGGAATATCAATTAAAATTGCAAATTTTTCTTTTAAAAAAATTCTGCAGATTGACATTATGTGCCTCTTGATGCTTTGCACTGAGAAGAACATATCATATAAGTAATATTCTGCCAACAATGCTTAGCCTGCATCTAATCATGATGAAACAATCAAACAAATTCAAATTGAAGATATTCTACAAGGGGCGCCTGGGTGGCTTAGTCGGTTAAGCGTCCGACTTTCGCTTAGGTCATGATCTCGCGGTTCGTGGGTTCGAGCCCCGCGTCGGGCTCTGTGCTGGCTGCCAGCTCAGAGCCTGGAGCCTGTTTCAGAGTCTGTGTCTCCCTCTCTCTCTGACCCTCCCCTGCTCACGCTATCTCTCTCTCTCCTAGAAATAAATAAAATATTAAAAAAAAAAAAAAAAGATATTCTACAAAAAAACTGGCCTACATACAAAAATATCTGACAGGAAGAAGGCCAAGAAAGAAACAGTTCTTGTATAAAAGGAGACCAGGAAAACATAATAACTAAATGCAATGCATGATTCTTGACTAGATCTCAGATTGAAAAGAGAGCAAAAATCAAAACAAACCAAAATCAAGTACATTACTGGGCCAAAGAGAAATATGAATATAGATGACAGAATGTGTATCAATGATAAATCATGTGTATGGTAACTGTATTATGGTTATATAGGAGAAGGCCCTTGTTTTGAAGAGATATGCAGAATGAAGTATTTAGGGGGAAATGATATCTGCAACTAACTCCCAAATGGATCAGGTGAAAAAATAGGGAGAAAGCAAATGTGAAAAATGTTAATTGATGGGTTACGCTAAAGTGTATATATGTATATGCATGTCTGCTGTGCTACTGTTACAACATTTCTGAAAGACTCAACATTTTTCAAAATACAAAAGGTAAAATAAGTAAGCTTTCGGACAAATGCTGAGAGAATCCATTGTTAGAAACCTTTACTAAATGAAAAGAAATACTAAAACAAATAATTCAGACTGAGGGAAAATAATCCTTGAAGGAAGCATGTAATTGCAGGAAAGAATAAAGAGCAACAGAAAAGGTAAATATTCAGCAATGTTGCAGAATATAAAATCAACATGCAGAAATCTGTTGCATTTCTACACACCAATAACAAAGAAGAGAAAAAGAAATCAAGGACTCAATCCCATTTACAAATGCACCAAAACCAAGAAGATACTATGAATAAATCCACTACACATGAAAAGATACGCAACATCACTCATCATCAGGGAAATACAAATCAAACCACGATGAGATACCACCTCACACCTGTCAGGATGGCTAAAAATAACAACTCAGGCAGCAACAGATGTTGACGAGGATGTGGCGAAAAGAGGATATTTTTTGTCCTGCTGATGGGAATGCAAACTGGTATAGCCACTCTGGAAAACAGTACGCAGGTTCCTCAAAAAATTAAAAATAGAACTACCCTATGACCCCACTGATTGGACTAGTAGGTATTTATCCAAAGGATACAAAAATGCTGATTAGAAGGGGCACATGCACCCCAATGTTTATAGCTGTGCTACCGACAAGAGCCAAAGTATGGAAAGAGCCCAAATGTCCATCAACTGATTAACGGATAAA